CGGTGGAACTCTCTTTTTTCTCGGGTACCACTTGGGTCTTTGGTAACAACTCTTTCAACTTGTCGATGTGCATTGAAATTTCTTGCAGTCTGGGCATCTTGACTGTAAAGTAGATATACAAATCGCCATGAGAAGATTGGTGCTTGATTGGGAAACCTTCCCCTGGGACTCTCATGAATGACTCGGGATCAATAATGTCCTTGGACTCAATGAATAACTCTCTACCGTCCAACTGTTTCAAAGTAAAGGAGAAACCAGTCAACGCCTCATTAAGTCCAACAGACTTTTCAACCAACAAGTTGTTCCCTTTTCGTGTATAAACGTTATGCGGATTCGTCAAAACAACAAAAACGATGTCACCAGGAATGATACCTGGAGCTTGATCAGACTCACCTGAGAACGATATTGCTTCTCGCTCTCTAATCCCAGGTTGTACAATTACTTCTAATATCTTCTCTTCGTTGACAACTTTCGCTCCACGGCAAACCGGGCATCGATCCTTTTCGTCAACGTGTTCACCACGTCCTCTACAATCTGGGCATTCCTTCTCACTTTGCATAGCAAACATCCCTTGTCTGATCATTACATAAATACTTCCTCTGCCATCACATCTCTGGCACTTCTTCACATCCTTTCCACTCTTGGTGCCCTTTCCCTTACACTTTGAACACAAAACGTCGTGTTTGATTTTTCTCTTGAAGGTCTTTCCATTGTACAAATCCTCTAGAGAGCATTTGAGCGGGCTCTGGACAGTCTGGCCTTTGCGCGGACCTCTTGAACGTTGTTCAAAACCACCCATACCTGCCATACCAGGGAAAAATTGGGCAAAGATGTCGTTCATGTCGAAACCACCCATTCCACCTTCCTCTAACCCTTTCTTGCCGTACTTATCATACACCTCACGTTTGTCAGAGTCGCTGAGAACCGCATAAGCCTCCGCAACTTCTTTGAAATTTTCCTCGGCAACTGTATCGCCTGGATTTTTATCTGGATGGTACTTGATGGCCATCTTCTTATACGCCTTCTTAATTTGTTCAAGCGTCGCGTCGGTTGAGACGCCTAAAACGTCGTAAAACCCAGTTTCCTTTGGCATGTTCTCTAAAGTAAAATTGAAGTTTGGTCTTTATATTCATTATTTTAGGGTTTACATAAAACAACTTCCAGTTTTTTTGTCTGTTGCTCATAGAAAAATAGAATTATTAGGGTTTTTATTAAAGAAGCT